GCTGGTGAGATCGACCTCGATGTCCAGATTGGCCCAACTGTGTTGAGCATTCTGTTTTAGGTAATGGACATCCCTACTGCGTTTAACTTTCTGTTGGGCCATCCTTGGATTCACTGTGCTGGAGCCGTGCCTTCAAGTCTTCACCAAAATGTGAAGTTCGTGGCCCAAGGAAACTAGTCACAGTCCTCGGCGAAGAAGACCACCGAATCTATCAGGAAACTGCCGTCCCGTATATCGAACCAAATGGCAAGGTGGAATCCAGTTATCAGTCTATCAAGCTCGTGTCAATCGTGCACGGATATCGAGGAGCTTCTCCCCCTATCCCTGATATATTAAAAATAGCAATCATGGTAGGAAAGATTATGGTAGGGAGTGGCTTCGCCTCAGGTCGAGGACTCGACAGAGGAGGCCGGGGTATTATAGAACCTATTTAAGCCACCAGGAACCACCGTACCTTTGGTCTAAGATATTGCGGACGAAACCCATAGGTCAATAAAGGGTGCGGGAGGGGTTGAGCTGGCTTGCTACTTTCCCAAATCCGGGAGACTTTTCTACCACCTGCTAGATTGTTGCAGCATGAGGAAGATTGTGTCAACGTCTCAGGACAATCCGGCGATAAGTTCAGGCATCCTACTGAATTCCCAAGTCGCCCTAGCTCTTCAACGCTTCCCGAGAATGCTGTTAGCAACCAACATCAGAACTTAGACGAGTTACTGATTGAGAAAGAGGGTAGACAAGAAGAAATGCTAGATAGCGTGGTCACCCTATTTGATGATATCTTCGTAGGTGCCATACACGAAGACTCGACCCTAGAAATGAGTGTAAACCCAATTGATTGGTTTGCACGTTTGCAGTATCAGGTGGGCGAACTACAAAATTTGCTCATATCTTTAATGGATATCATTGGCCAAATACCGAACATGTCACTGCCGCCTCCCGATCAAGAAGAGCTGACTCAGGTGATTGTTCCCGAAGAAAGCCCACCATCGATAGTCCTTCCCAATACGACATGGCAAGATATCCAACTTTTACAGTGGCAGGGCGACGTGCGACAGTACTCACCAGTCCCTAAATCTATAGACATGATATTCCATGTCCTTCTACAGAAGAAGATGATCACAATGGAGCCAAAACATGCTACTCCTGAGTACTTCGTCAATTATGATCCCAACCTATCCTGTGATTATCACTCAGGAGAAGTTGATCACTCATTGGGTGATTGCAACACCGTGAAAAATAGAGTACATGACTTGTTGGATGCCGGGGCATTTACTTTCGTGCCCCCTGATTGTGCTATGGCAGGAATGACCTTTTAGTGGTGCCCAGCATTCGTACCACCATTCCTGAATTTGCTGAGAGGACATATAAAGGGAAGGCAATCATGGATACCCTGGGTGAGCCCAATGGTAGGTATGACTTCTACGTCAACTACCAAATCCCGTCAAACTTTTTTGACGAGCAACAGAATAGCATCGTGGATGGATGGGGTAGCATGGACCTGCTTACAGCAGCGAAGAGAAGAGGCGATGAACTGGACTCCTTGAACGATACTTTCGAAAATTTCTTCATAACGCAATAGACGAAGTACCGGTGAAGGGAATGGGTGCAAGCCCGCTTGAGTAGAATTCCTCTAACCCTTTTGCATAAATCCCTGGAAAATGGGCTATCCTTTTATTTTGTTTTTTGTCATTATTTCTGCTGGAAGAAATGTCTTTTTGAACCCTCCCTTTCCTGAGGTTGTAAATCCTTATGTTGTAAATAAATAATGTTTTGAAGACATGAGGTAGTATCCCAAACCGGTCCGTTGATGATATCCAGCCACACAAAGGAAAGTATTCCGAGGCTTGGGCTACCTCATGCTTCCTCGTTTCTAAGCTTTTCAAAAATCAAAAGCATTTCACTATTTCTTCCAAAAATATTTAAGAGAAAAAACGATGGAAAAATCTATATGCACATAACCCCATTTGTTTTTCTGATCAACTTACCCTGTGTTCCATGCATAATCTCGCGACTTGCAAGGGAGTTAGTACGATCCAACCAGATGCCGTAGATGCCGACAGTAGTGATTCTGACGATTCAAGTGATAATCCCACTGAAATCCGAAGAAATTGGGAGCAATATGAACAAATCAAGCCCCTTACAATCGAGAATACTGTTACCATCAATTTGGGTGGTACTAAAGATCCAAAAGAAGTAAAGATTAAGGCCAGCCTTCTCGAAGAAAAGGCCACATGTCTGATCTCTCTTCTCAAAGATTATCAAGACGTCTTCGCATGGTCTTATTTTGATATGCTAGGTCTAGACCCTCGAATTGTCAAACACAGTTTGCCTACCAATCCCGACATGCCTCCTAAGAAGCAAAGGTTAAGAAGGACCAAACCCGAGCTATTGAAAAAAATCGAAGAAGAAGTGATGAAGCTCTTGAAAGTAGGGTTCATCGAGGTTTCGCAATACCCTGATTGGGTAGCAAACATCATGCCAGTGAAGAAGAAAGATGGTCGAATTCGAGTTTATGTTGATTGCCGTGACTTGAACAAGGCCAATCCCAAGAACGACTTTCCGCACCCCCATATAGATGTCCTTGTGGATAGCACTGCTGGATTCGAATTATTTTCTTTCATGAATGGATTATTCGGGTACAACTAGATAAGGATGAACGACGAAGACAAGGAGAAGACGGCATTCATCACTCCATGGGGGACCTTTCATTACAGGGACATGCCTTTTGGTTTGAAAAATGCCGAGGCAACATACCAACGTGCTATGGTCACTCTTTTCCATGACAAGATGCACAAAGAAATTAAAGTCTATGTCGATGACATGATCGCCAAGACCAAATGCGGAGAAGACCACGTTGAAGCCTTGAAGAAGCTATTCAGTTGGCTATGCGAGTTCAAATTATGCCTGAACCTTGCAAAGTGCATGTTCGGGGCGATCTCTGGTAAGTTACTCGGATTCATCATAAGCAGCAAAGGGATCACGGTCGACCCATCGAAAGTCAAAGTAATATGTGAACTGCAGTCCCCATCCATAGTGAGGGAAGTCAGAAGCCTTTTAGGAAGGTTGAACTACATCGCACGATTCATCTCCCAACACTCTGAGACTGCATGGCCTTTTTTCAAACTTCTCAGGAAAGACGCTTAGATCAGCTGAGATGAAGATTGTCGGGAAGCATTTAAAAAACTGAAATAGTATTTGATGAATACCCCGATACTAGTTCCGCCAGTCCCAGGACATCCTCTAACTCTCTATCTAACGATCCACAATGAATCGTTGGGAGCCCTGTTGGCTCAGAGCAACCCCGACGATGGAAAAGAATGGGCCATCTATTATTTGAGTAAGAATTTCACCATTTCGGAGTAGAATTATTCCGAATCAGAAAAAACGTGTGTCACATTGGTGCGGGTGTTGCATAGGCTCCGGTAATATACTTTGCACCACCAGATGTTTCTCATAACTGAAAACAACCACATCCGGTATTTGCTTCACCGGCCGGCATTGGTGGGAAAATTGGCTAAATGGCATATTCTAATTTTGGAATTTGACATCCAAACGTCGTCGCAGAAATCAGTGAAAGGTCACGTGATCGCTAATATGCTGGCTGAATGCCCTGGGGAAATACATGAAGATGATTTCCCAGATGATTGCATTTTATCGGCAGAAGAACATACGTGGACTATGTTTTTTTGATGGAGTAGTAAACCTATCTGGCTCTGGCACCGGGTCAGTCTTGATATCCTCAAATGGGCAACATGATCCTGTAGTCGCAAAATTAGTGTTTCCTTGCACTAACAATATAGCCGAATATGATACGTGTATTCTCGATCTACAAACAGCAATTGACATGAAAATAACCAAATTAAAAGTATTTGGTGATTCTACCTTAATCATCCTCCAGACTGTGGGTGAATGGAAGACTAGGAATGCTAAGTTAGTAACCTATCATGACTATCTAGAAGAATTGATGACAGAATTCAACGAGATTTCGTTTGACTACCTATCTAGATCTCATAACCAATTCGCCAATGCACTGGCTACGCTATCATCTATGTTGCATGTCACCAATCGGTTGGAAATAGAACCTTTGAAAATTGAAGTCCTGACCAGACCAGCCCATTACATGGTCGTGACAGAAGAACCCAATGGCAAATCATGGTATTACGATATCATGAACTACATCAAAGAACGGCAGTTCCCTGAAGGTAGTACCGCTGCAGATAGAAGGTACATAATGAAAATGGCAATGAAGTTTTTCGTCAGTGGTGAGAACTTATACAAGAGATCCTATGATTCTATTTTGCTGAGATGTGTGGATGCAATCGAAGTAATGCGAATTATGCAAGAATTGCATAAAGGGGTATGCGGTCCACACATGAATGGACACATGTTGGCCAGGAAAATAACAAGATTGGGTTATTATTGGCTTTCCCTAGAAAGCGATTGCATTCGACATGTTCGAAATTGTCACCGTTGTCAAATTTACGGAAACAAGATAAATGCCCCTCCAACTAAATTACATTAGTTATCTGAGTCATGGCCATTTTCAATGTGGGGCATCGATGTGATCGGCCCAATCAATCCAAAGGCATCAAATGGGCATCGATTTATCTTGATCGCGATTGGTTATTTTTCCAAGTGAATCGAGGCCACATCATATACCAATGTCACTGCTCGGAATGTGATAAAATTCATCAGGTGCGACATAATCGCCTGCTATGGCGTCCTTGAAGCCATTGTTACAGATAACGAAACGAATTTGAATAACAAGCTTGTTGATAATTTATTCAGCGAATTCAAGATTCGTCACCTGAGTTTGTCTCCTTACCGTCCCCAAATGAACGGAACTGTCGAGGCGGCCAATAAAAACATCAAGAAAATCTTAGCCAAAAACTGCTGAGAACTATCGAAATTGGCATGAAAGACTGCCTTTTGCATTAATGGCCTATCGAACATCAATTCGGACATCTACCGAGGTAACCCCTTTTTCCTTGATATACGGCATGGAAGCAGTACTGCCTGTTGAGGTAGAAATCCTCTCACTGCGGGTATTGTCCCAAGTAAAACTGTCTGATGCAGAGCACAGACTGGAGCAGTTGAATATGATCGACAAAAAGCGGTTGAAAGCTCTTTGTCATGATCAATACTATCAGCAGAGGGTAGCCAGGTCATTCAATCGAAAGGTATGCCCAAGACACTTCGAAGCAGGCGATCTTGTCCTGAGGAAGGTACTACCATTACCCGTCGAGCTTGGAGGTAAGTTCGCTCCAAACTACAAGGGTCCCTATGTCGTGAAAAGGCACTCCTTGGAGGGGCTTTGATTCTGACGGAGATGGATGGACGTCAATTCTCCAACCCGGTCAACTCTGATGCTGTAAAGAAGTACTATCCTTGAAATAATTTCTATATTCCTGTTGATAACAAGGGAATTGGCAGAAAAGTTATTAATAAGGATACCCATGATAGAAAGTTTAACTGGAAAGGACTTTGCATATGACAAAATGGCGTCAAGGCTGATCCTAACAACCATGGAAGTCTCGATGGTAGTCACGCCTATATTAGTCAAAGACATTTAAAGTAGAAATTAGCTTTGCTACGAAGATTCCCATGCATGTAATTGTATATGTCCTGTGCAGTTAGGAACCAGAGGATTTCTAAGAAGCTCCTCAACGTGCCGGGACCACATTGACACAGCATGCACCGAGGATAGGACCGTCTATTTGGGAGCACCCTTAATTATAGAGGATTTCATTTGAGTTTCGAGACCAACCATGAGAGGAGAAAAAACTCTACTAGCTTTAAGGACAAAAGGGAGACACGAGGGGTACTTTGGTATCTTTCTCAATCTACCCTTGATTATTTTATTCCTAACATAAGCTCATGTTATCATCAATAGGAATTGTCAACATCCGAGGAAAGTTCAAGGAGTCATTAGCTTAAACTCAAATGAAAGGAGTCACGATGGGTAATATTGTATCGTTCCCAATTCCTGTCCCTCAAAGAGCCGTTCATTAACACGATGTTTCTTGTTACCATGCAGGTTTGCTTCACCATTGCAGCATATGTAAGTATTTCTTTCTCTTAAAACTCTTTTTTTATAAGAGTAGAAAGAATAAAAGAAAAAGGAAGCAATTTAAAGCAAATAGACGCTTAATCCTCCCCCAAGTGCATCGCATGTCTTTTAGAAAGGAACTTTGCATGGTAATTTTACATGTTTAATTCATCAATTCCATGTGAAAATTTTGACAATTCGACGAATGGTGTCGAATTGCTCCGATTCACTGAACGAGCTGTGTCAGGATGATGAGAGGCAATCCTTAGTCTATACACATTCTCATGTACTAAACCCTAGCAAGACGAGTAAAAAGGTTCCATGTCTGCAAGGTAAAAGGGATTTTTCATATTAGGTACGATAGCTAAAATGACAAGAGGCAGTTCATTTCTCTGCCCCATACACTACTGGTGAGCCTTTGCTTAACCATTTTGAGCTCATATACTTGGAAGCTCCTTTCAAATTACCCTTGTCAAGAACCACCCCATATTGGGGCAATTCGAGGTAAGTCGGCATTGCGAAGTAAAAAAAAATGAATAGAAATTTTCTAGCTATTACTTGCATCAATCTTTGAGTGTTATTATTACAATTGAAGCCTTGCGATGATTTAAGTGCCATAGGATGACGAAGAGCAATTCCTTTTTTATTACATACACTTATATCCCTTGCTAGCCCAATTGAGCTGGCAATTTCATTTTGTACGAACTTAATTGGTGATCATCCCCCACATTGGGGCAATGCGAAGGTCACCACAATTCAAGCGTCATGGTCCAAAGTGCTGAATGAAGATGAAGACCTCAAGAGCCTAATAACACAGTCTTATTCAAACTTGTCTAGACCAAAAGAACAGCAAAAAACAAATGCTGAAAACTAAGGGCAACAAAAAGCAGTGTGTCTGGTAAAAGCAAAGGCCAATGCCCATGGACAAAAAAGCAATAAAAAAGGCGAAGGAATTTGTATCCCCAAGCAAATTTGCAATTATTGGACAAAAGTCCAAGAAGCCAATGCGCCAAATTACCCTAGAAAGTTATCCGAGAGGATCTTGACGGTGAAGAAAAAGATAGGTGACAACGCCAAGATGATCACCAACTCTCACCCATAATACACATTTTTTGGCCTAACGATCTTTTCGTTTCTCAACCTGTGAGCTGAGTCTATGTTACGTCCCTCATAAAATCTCTTCTGACTAGGGCACCTGAATTAATGTAGAATTTCAAATGTTTATAAATATCGCTCGAAGAAGTGCGAGCAAGACTACTTCTATCTCATTTTGCATGGTTTTTGACTTGTAAACCCGGCGATGAACACGGAGTATTTTCTTTTATGGTCTTGACTCGGATAGTCTCCTTTGTTAAGCCATGGACCAAGCCTGCATTACGATCCTAGTAAAGACCTCTCAGATTGGTAAGATCTTATCGCTTGTGAGAAAACTTAAACCCTCGTTGATGTGACGATGGTCGGGTTGAGTGTTTTTAATGTTCCCACATTAATGGTTGGGATAATATAGCCCTTTTCAATGAGATCGGCTAGAAAGTCCTTTTTGATTGAAAATCTCTCATTCAGCATCTTGAGAAGTCCATCTTGCAAGCAAAAATTGTCTCAATTGATAATTACCCTTGGTGGATATTTGGTGATGCGAACATGGCAAAATAATCACGCATAAACTTTCAAATGCATATTCTGAAATAGCCTAACTTGTCTATATTCTTTATGGACACATGCATATGTGCGCTAATCGTCTTTGACAAGTAAAATGTCCTTAAAGACTCAAAGAGCGCCTGACCTTTGGAGTGTCTCCAAAGATGTCCCAAAAACTCTCAAATGTTCTCTCCAGCAGAACAGACACGATGTGCCCCTGGCAAACTGCAGTCCCCCTTTTCATGGACACTGCTTTCATAACTTTAAGTCCCCTCAACAAGAATTGATAGGGCGTGCTCGAAGTCTTACTCCCCAGTGGTACACCACGAAAATTCGGGCACTGGAGAAGCCCTCTTTACCATTCCAAGAGAGATATCTTGATAAAGGTCGGTTATTCAGCAGATGATGCATCAAACCTCCGGGTAAGAAACCCTAGGTATTTCATCATAACTCTTCTCAAACCACCCGAAAGGTAAACTGGGTGCTCCTTTGAAAAAGAAAAGCATTTCTCATTGCGTGAGATACAACCAAGATACCTCAGAAAGACATGTGTATTCTAGAATAGCCTCAATCGTCTATTCCTTCGATGAATGCATATGTTCTTTGCATAAAAACCTGTCTGACAGGAGACATGCTCTTAAGAGGCATGAACAGGACAGGTAAGTTTTTTTTACCCATGCCCTGTTCCAAAAATCCATGTACCTACGATTGTTATGGTACTCCTCGAATATTAGACTAACCCCTCTGTTCACCACGTACCTACAATTGTTATGGTACCCCTCGAACATTAGATTGATTCCTTTGTTCACCAACCGAATATTGGACTGACCCCTCTGTTCACCAGGTATCTACGATTATTATGGTACCCTCAAACATGGGATTGATCCCCTTTGTTCACATCAAGCCTTTTTTAGGTACCTCTGATAGGATACAGGTACTTCGACAAGGCAAAACCCAGTCAAGGCGATCGAAGATAGGTTCGAGTCCTAGACAAACAAAATCCCGTCAAGGCGACCGAAGAGAGGTTCGGGTCCTAGACAAACGATTTCCTTCGTCAAGGTGATCGAAGATAGGTTCAGGTCCTAGACAAATGAAATCAAGTCGAGGTGACCAAAGATAGGTTCGGGTCCTCGACATACAATATCAACTACTTGGGACTACTCTACCCTCCTGGTAATGTAAGTAGCCTCAGGTATGTCTTTATTTGCTTTAGCATGCATCATCTTATATCGTATAATAAAAAATAGGACCCATGGTCCCGCTAAAAATAACATTCATCGTACATGCATTGGCCATATTTAGGTGTCATTTTATCTTTAAATGTAACCTCTGCAAGCTCACCTTCAAAAAGAGGCAGCTGTTGATACCTATTTTATAATTTTTTCCTAAAATTAATTATGCAAAATTTAAGAGTTAATTTTTTAATCAATTCTTAAAACAAAAAAATATATATTTATCTAATTGCATTGCATATAGACATTAGGCACATTTGCATTAATAGGGCTTATTAGAGCATATTTTCTTAATTAACTTTCAAAAAAAATTATTAAAAAAATTTAACAAAAATTCTGGTCGGGGCCAGGTCGACCCAACCGTTTCTTTTTTCCCCCCTGTGCGAACCCGGCCCCTTTTCTTTTTTTTCTCCCCTCCGTGTGAGCTGGGCCCAACCAGGCCCAGCTTTTCCTCCTTTCTCTCCCCCCCCCAGCGCCGGTCTTCACCCTCTGCTCTCCCCTGTTTCAGACTGTCCAATCGACGGACGGCCAAGCGGCCTCGGCATTCCCATCCGAGCCAGTAAGGAGCAGCAGGGGGAGGGTATTGATGGCCAGTCCCATCTCTCCCCCTTTTCCGGCCTCTCTCTCTCTCCTCTTCCCCTCTGTAGCCGCAGAAGTCAAAGTGAGCAGATGATTGTTTTTCCCCCCCTACACAGGCCTAGATTGGCCATCGAAGTCGCGGCGCAAAGTAGGCCAGCGCAGGGGCCATTAAGGCCACGACTTTGGTGCGAAGCAGGTGGCTTCCGTCCCCTATAAAGGGCGGAGAGAGTGGAGAGAAGAGGCGATCCTTCTCGGTGAGAGAAAAAAAGAAAAACAGAGAGAGAGGCAAACCGAGAGAGAAATAGAGAGAAAAAGAGTATACCAAAGTGACGCCGGAACAGAAAAAGAAGCCAGTAGCCTCGTCGGTGCCTAAGAATTGATCGAAAACCCCCTTGGAAGCTGCTCAAACCGGTGAGCCTCCCCCGGTCCTGTCTTCCCTTGTTTTGCCGTGCAGTTTGGCCGGGACTCGCGGCGACCACTTGTCGCAAATCCTGGCCCATACCGTCTTTGGTCCCGGCCCCCACTCGCTGTGGGAAGCGAACCACGGCTGTCGGAGCCATCCGGGTTGCTGGGGGAGGTCGAGATCCCTCAATTTTTGCTATACCTACCATCTGTTCAATGAAATGCCTTAAAGAGGCTGGATTTTTTTTTGCTCGCCAGCCGGCGAGTGGGTAGTCGGATAGCGGGCCCGATTGTCGGAAAAGGTAGGTTGAAGCTCATGAGGTGGAGACCCAGGCCATAGGTGGCCTGGGTCGTCCGGCGAGACCACCGGATCTCGCCGACCGAGGCTCCCGCGTGCCCAAACACGCGGGAGCCATCCTTAGACCAGCCTTCAGATCGGTTGGACCGGTCTGCAAGCCAAATACGGCTGATTCGATCGGGTCGAATTGGCCCTATTTCATCTTTATCCACCGGACCGGGCCCCGATCGGGCTCGATCCGGTCCATACCCGGGTTAATGACTTGAGTTGACCCCCTGACTCGGGTCAAATCCGAAAATCCTACCCGGGTCAATGCGATGGGTCTGGTCTATTGACCCGAGTCGATTCGAACCGACCAGGATCTGCCGACCCGACCCGATTTTAATGTTATATTATTATTTTTGTTAAAAAAAATCAAAAAAAAAATTCTTTTAAAATTAGGATATGATTCAGATATAAGTTTTGTCTAATATTTTTCTAAATTATGT